CCATAAATTCAGGATTTTCAGGATTTCTTTTGACGTCTACTAATTGCCACGGAGCTATAAGACCAAATCTAACACATTTAAGTACTTCTAGCATATACCGTTTTCTTTCATTCCAATCATGCATTAACCATCTTACGGCAGACATTAAAACTTCCATTTCGCTACAAGAAAAAAAAATGTTTGATATATTATTTATTATTATAAAATTTATATTATCTGTTATGTAACTTTTTTTAATAAACCATTTCTTATTAAGCAATAAAATTTAAAAGTTCAACATTTTAAAAATAATTAAATTGTATAAGTCTCTTATAAAATTTTCTTATATATAAAATATATTTGATGACGATTATACTATAGACATCGATTATACCTATTAACGCAAATATAATTAGATTTTAGTAGTAAGCATAATTCGTCCACTGATAATTCCAAAAAATCTTTTGTGCTAACAAGCATCAAGAAAAATTTCATAATTCTCGGCACCATCAGTTCCATTACTGCAGTATTCCCGATTTTCTTTGCATCCAAATATAGTAAGAAAGCAGTATCCTCGGAGAAAAGTTCGTCATTGTCAATGAATGCCCAACATTGCTCTTCTAATTCTTTATAAAATACAATGTATATGTTTTTAATAAGAAATCCGTTTTATTATATTCTTTACATTACGCATGAATGTTTAGTTAAATTTCTTTTTAAATTTAAAGAACAAAAATACATTTTATTTTATATTAAAAATTTTAAATACGAGATAAATTCGCACCTTTGATACCCAGATACTGTGCAGCCATGAAAATTTCTAATATATTATCTCTTCGTAAAAGCTGATAACTTTCGTTGATTGGACTTATCATCCAGTCATAAATAATAGAAAAGGCCTTGGAAGTCACACTACTCTACATTGTGTGCATATAACAAATTATATTTTTAGAATTTTAAGCTAATTTTATTACTTCTTATTTTAATATGAAGACATTTATATAAAAATGCTTTGATATAAAAATTTTCTAAAATTAAAAAAAATTTTTTAAAAATGTTTTTTATGTAATATCTAATTGAATACAATTTAGATCTTACGCAAGATAAATCAATATTCTTGCAATTTTTCTCATCGAAAAATGTGCTGTAACTTTGCAGAACAAGGAGATGGCAATGAAATTCGTCGTGATCAATTCGGATAATACAGTCAGCATTCCTTGGCGCAACAAATAAAGAAATATTTGTTTTAATACAATTTAGTTTTTAAACTGTTGCTAATAAAACATATAGATACAATTTAAATTGATCTCTATTAAATCAAATTAAAGTTATTTATTTAAAACATTCAACATTTGCAATGTGATAGAAAGAGCTTTATTTAAGAAATTTACTTAAAATTCTCTCTCTTTTTTTTTCTTACTTATAGTTCGTGATGCGTATAGCTAATTCTTGATACAAATCACTCTTTTCTGGAAGAATTATATTATTCCAATCAATTAGTTGTTCATTCGTAAATCCCAATCTGTTTTCCAAAAAGAGGAAAATAGTAAAGTGTTAGAATAAAAAGACTTTAATTTTCAAAATTGTGATACCCACACAGCATACCCGTTTACTGCAACATTATGTTACTGTAATATTGCTAAATTGATCTGTGCTGTGTGGGTATAAATGTGTTCTCAATTTAATAATTTTTGCAATTGTCAAATTTAAGAAAACTAACGAGGCGAGTGGTATTTCGTTCATTGGAGGAAGTTGATGAGATGTTGATTGTACCGAATGATTTTGTTCCATTTCTGAATAAAACTTTGTGCTTGATTGCGTTCGTGATCTATAACCTCCTTCGATATGCGGTAATTTTTTCTGTGCCTGTTGTCGACCAAGTAATATTTTAAATCAGAGCTAGAATTTAGTTGCACATTTCGGCCGATTTTCAGCTTGTTGCCTGCCCCTCACTTCCACGCGCGCGTAGCCTAAATGCTGATCGGGTATTTTAGGGATTGGCATTTAGGGTGTGCACGGGTTGGTGAAGTGAGAGACAGGAACCAAGCTGAAAATCGATCAAAATGTGCAACTAAATCCCAGCTCTGTTTTAGACGATGTCAAAACAATAACTAGTAAACAACAAAGAGTTTCAGTTTTACCTGTAACTGATCAATTGTCGACGGCGTGATGCCAGGCGAGAGATCAATGTATCTTGTTCGATTCGGAGAGTCGAAAATGGATGTGCCAATGTTGTTACCCGATCGATTAAGCTCAGCCTTGATGTTTACTTTCGTGTGTCGCGGATCAGCAGCTAAAACGCTGAACTTCTTTGACTCGAATACAACCTAGAACGACTATGCTATGTCTGCTTCGAGACCGATATTTCTGAAGCGGTTTCATTATAACATTTGTTAAAACGAAATCTTTCTTACCTGATTCGGAATGATTTTGAGGTTACCACTGGATGTAGCTTGGAAGGGAAACACACGACTACGACTATCCGTTTCGTTCCCCTCATTCACGATGAACGTTGATTTAATGCTCGTTTTTTGGGGATAAATTTCTATCTGCTTCATCGGCAAACCTAGATTTGAACAAGAAGCTAATTGCTTTCTACCTTTTATCTCTGCTTTCCTACAAAGTCGTATTATATATTATATTTCCACACTATCTGATTCTATTATTTATCTACTCTCCAAATTATTTACTCTAAATGACAGTCCATAGGTTTCGAAGTGACGACTTCAACGAGCGAGCATTCCTTTTTCCGAGTTCTTTCTTGTGTAATACGTTTACGTGATCTTTGATTTGTTGCGTGTTTGTTGATATGACAAGTAAATGTTCTCGATTGCGGCCTGACAGGATCTTGGAAAAGCTTGGCTGTGCACTCCAAATCCTTATACTTGGAATTTATTTTTATCTGCCTTTTAAATGATGTCCACTTATTTTGTAGCGGAGATACAAATCTCTCTACTCGATTTGCGTGATAAATGTTTACATTTAAAAAAGGCTGTTGTCTTGATATATGATATCTTTTGGAAGTATTTTTTCGTCGACGTAGTGAATATCTCGGAGACAGAGTTTCCGGAGTCTCTATGATTTTTGCCCTTTTTCAACATATTTTTCAAGTAAAATTAACTTATATTATAGTTAAATATTTCCGTCTATTTTTTTGGTCAAAATTAAAAAAAAATCTTTTCTACTGTATTGATATCATTCATTTACTTACTTATCAGGTGACACAGAATTTATAACTTCCGATCGCGATACGTGCGAAGTTTTTACTATTTGATTGGATTTTGGAAGTTGCACTAGAGCGTTTGAAGAAGATGATGGAGGAATATTAAATCTACCATGATAAAGCACAATAACGCTGCTTTTACTGTTGCCTATGTGTAGAATATTACCATTACCAATCAATTTACTTCTGGATTGATTAAAAAATTCTATAATCTCTCTCTCTCTCTCTCTCCCCCTCCCTCCCTTCCCTTCTCCTTCTCTAAATTGATCTCTAAAGCTTCAACAATTAACTCACATTTCTTGCTGTTCTGTCGAATAGCCCTTACAATCCGTGGTGTAGTACTTTGCTGCCTGTTATCAACAAGATAAGCGATAAATACAGTATTAAAACTTGTGCCTCAAAACATTAAGCAACTATGAATAAAAATATATAATTAGTTTAACTTTTCAAATTACCAAATTTTTTCGTTAAATTTATTTTTCTGTTCAAATTTTTCACCATCACTCGACTGCTTTTCTTTGACAGTTATCCCTTGTGGCTACGCAAAACATTCGTCCACCAAAAATAATAATGTATCTTTAAATTCACACCTTAATATCAGAGAATAAATTTATACTAATCCAGAATTTCTTTAGAAGACGCTAAAAGTTAGATTTTTATAAATTTAAATGCATTAAAAATATATTACATCCTAGATGATTAAAATTAGATTTTAACTGACAATGTCCCTAATATCAACATACTTTTGATACAAAAAAGATTAATCCAAAGTATTCTATAATTTATAATTACTTCGTATTATACCTCATATTTTTACCTCATATCTTTTCAGACAGACATATGATGCAGAAGATTCAATATTTGAGATACGTTGTGGTGTAGCAACGTGGTCGACTTCTTCAGTAACTAAAATTTATCTCCACAAATAATATGAATGTAAAAAATGTATAATAATAAGTTTAAATAATTTTGTTTGAATAAAATTGTTTCATACAAAATATTTTTATTAAATATTATTTTATCTTTTTTTTGGTTCCCTTTTATTAATTATTTAAAATTTGTATATTTAGATTTTATTAACACTTACATCACTTACATAATTTTGTTTCGGTGAATCGACTATTAATAACTGGATCTTGATGTAATGATGTTGATGATAATTTGAGATTTGATTGATCGTTTTTTTCGTTTTTTGATAGTTGACAAGCAAGTCTCAATTTTTGATAAAATTGTGTTACTCTTGAAAGATACAAAATCAGTAATTATATAGTTTTTATAAATGTGTGTGTGTGTGTGTGTGTGTGTGTGTGTGTGTGTGTGTGGATTATGATTAAAGCAAATATTTCTTTGGATTTGGTAGATCAAGATCCGATGAAAAATCGTCTTCAGTAGAAGTATCAAACTGCTTCTGCATATTCAATTCAATATATTATATACGTATAAATATATAATATATAATATTTCTGTATAAACGATATTAAAACATCATCATGGTTAATTGTATTAAATTTGCGCTATACTCACATCATAACGCGCAAAGCTTCTTCGCATGATACGTGTCACGTTCAAGGTATAAGTCGCGGAATTCGCATAATAACGACGAAACGCTTCTTTTTCGTCCCTGTCACGTGAAGTAAAAAATAATAAAAATATAAATATTATATAAATTAATGCTGTGACATTTAAAATGTACGGGACATTTGCAAAAGTGCGCGTGTCTAGAAAGGCCTTAGATACATAACAGCTAACAGATGAATGAGATGAACAAGAGAATATCCCATTTCGTTTCCAAAATTTTTAAACTGCTTAATTTGAATCATGGTGGTGGAAGAATTATGGTAGTTTTTTCCACCACGATTCTTCCATCTGATTCGAATGGACTATACCTTAACCGTGACAGGTTTCGCGCGTTATATAACGTGAGTATAGTGCAAGTTTAATACAATTATTCATGTGATGACGTTTTAATCTTGTTTATACAGTTGGAGTATAATAATTAAGTTTGTTTTTTATTATTACACTGAAACTTTCCTTCATCTTACTTTCGCTAAATATCAAACATGTGTTTATCTCATTTTAAGTACAAAAAATTATAATTCAATTGTAAGCAGACTAAGAATATATATAATAACATTTTTTAATAATATTTTTATATTATAAGAACATTATATATAATTTACTATCTTTTTTATAAAGATATATTTTCTTTCTTGATTTCTAATATATTTAATATAAACACCCCTACACACACACACACACACACACACACACACACACACACACACACACACACACACACACACACACACACACACACACACAGAGAGCATGTTACAAATCATCTTAAATTTTTCAATTCTTTACTGTTAGAATAAATTAAAGCATTTCAAAAAGTTTAAAGAAGCAATTTCGAGAATATAAAGAAATATGGAATTTTCATTACTTATATTAAGTGAAAGAAAAAAATTGTTACAGACGAAAATTTATTTAAGGATAATAAGATCGAACACTATATCTTGTAATTAAAAGATATGATATTTGATCTGTTATACCAGTAGAAATGTTGAGGTCACGTGGAACAATGGGAAGTATTTCAAAGTAAAAGCTTAGACTGAAGAGACATGAAGCTTGTGTAGTTGTCGACAGTCTGACGATTAAACGGTGACTATAAGCGAGCAATTAAAATAATTTTACGATGATGCTGGACGAACGCTCACAGAGAGAATTATTAAAGGCAATTGGTGCATGCGAAAAGATGAAATGATGAAAGCTTCCTGCAGTTCTCTCTGAACATATTCTTCTTCTACAATTTTATTGATAAACGTGAAATGCAGTTCTTCGAAGGACGGAATTATAGGATCAATAAAATCCTCCTGTCGTGTGTTGGACAATGGCCATATCAAACGAACAGAAGTAGTAATGCTATTATTATCATTATAGTGTCTTTAGCTGGCACGCAATTTATCGCCAAGGTATGACAATGCAACGCGGTTGTTTACAATATACAATCATATGATTGTATATCGTAAACTTAACGACTGTTTGTTGATAAAGAGAATTTTATCAATCCTTTTTTTATAGAAACAAACCCAGCCAACATTATGTCCAAAATGCGGACATAAAACGTCTCGAAAGACGTCTTGTAATATGATGCTCAACATCTTCAAGACATCTTATGTCCACATTTTGTAACATTGTCTGGGAAAAATTATTTATTAAATAACTATATTTGTTCTGTATTCCATTATATTTTATATTGTATAATTTACAATTATATATTGTATAATTCAATACAATATTTAAATGCTATATGTATGCTTCATATTTATAATTTCATTGTTCAAGCACAGATATGTGGTTTATTCTCCATTGATAACATTGATTTGTTCATCGATTCTCTTTCACCATTGGTAGTCGATATAGGATGTGGAGTAAAATTAATCACTTGCATATTAAAAGCAACAGAGGTATGTAAACACGTTGCAATATATATTTAAATTCTAAAATATTTTCGACATATACATCCGCTTGCAGGCATATGACTCTTTTTAAAATTTATGAAATATACGAGAAAGAGCTAATTTACTTATACAATTAGATAATTATTATACAATAATTTAGCAATTAGAAATTACAATTTTTAGCTATAATAAAAATTTTTAATTTAAATCTTTTTTAAAATAAAATTTAATTACAGATAAGGGCACTTTTTGACCAAATACAATACGATTGGCAACTATTAATAACATCTTCTCAAATCAAGATACTTAATAATTACGCACAAAATGGACGAACATTTACGATTATATACGCGAGTAAGCATAATATGATGCGTGCTATAAAGAAAAAAATCCTATGAGATTTTTTTAAATTCCTTCTAAAAAATTATTTTTTGATATTATATAGTAACAGTAATATACACATCATATGTTTCTTTATTACAGTAAAATATATTTTAAGTTCTATAGTAAGAATTTAAATCAATGACTTTTATTTTGTGTAACAGAAATTAAGAATAAAGACTGATAAAAATGATTAAGAATACTTGAATCTTTAGGTGCTTTTTATTCTGCATTGGTGTTATTTATGTTAGTACCATTGCAATCATTGTTACTGGGTTCTTCTTCAAATGATACAACTCGATTATTATTACATCAAGTTGAGTATTATATCGATATGGAAAAATACTACTTGCCAATCTTAATTCACGGATACGTTACCGCTGTCATTTGTGTAAGCATAGCCATCGCAGCAGATACAATGTATGTAATAGTAGTACAGCATGTTTGCGGACTATTTATGATTATTGGGTAAGATAATCTTATAAAATACTCATTTTATTCTCATAATTTTTAAAACATATTTAATTAGTTGAGAGTTTATATTAATAACCCAGATAGCAACGTGTCTGTCTTGTTGCTGGCATGTTGCTTGCTAAGTATGTGTTGCTACCAGAATTGCAGCAATTGAAGCGACTCAGTTGCCAACAAATGAGGATCCTTATTTGTTGGCAACTTGATGCCTTCACGATATGATAACAAATTGAGTAGCAATTTGCTTACAAGTTTTAAATCAAAAGTCATCATCAAAATTCGTACTATTACCATCATGTTGCCATAACAATATGCAGCATACAATGCTGTCAAATTGCCGACAACGCAAGATAACATTGACGCAGCTATCTTGCTGTTAGCAATACTTATACACATTGTTGTCTGCATGCTGCTACAATGTCGATATATTCGAAATTGTTGAAGACAAATCTACGGCATGTTGTCAACATCATAAGCAATCACAGATTTGTGCGATTTTGCTGAGACACGCTTTGCTATCTGAAAAGTAGTTTTAAAACTTGTATATCAATTGCATCAGGCAACAACTGGAAAATATAGTAAAAGAGGATAATCTAGAAATAAATTTTAATCCATCTATAAGAGAGGATAAGCCGTATAAAAATATTGTAAGCAGCATTCATGCACACAAAAGAGCTTTAAGGTGCGCTATGATATATTGTTATTACAATAGATATTATGTAATTTATTTTACTATCACATATATATCTATCTGTACATACAGTTATTTATTTTTTTATAATAAATTATTATTTATATTGAATTTATATACAATTATCATCTATACAATAATGTATATATTATATATAGGTACTCAAGCAATATTGTATATTCATTGTACTCATATAATTATATGACATATATTCTTAGATAAATACACGTATACAAATACAGTTTAATTAAAATATTATGTTTTAATTTGCATGAAGATTTGCCAGTCTCACTGAAGCAGTATTTAGCCAAATGTTCCTTGTAGTAGCAGGTTTCAATATGCTTATTATAAGTATGACAGGTGTTACGGTACGTCAACTTAATCATTCGTCTTATAATAATGTTATTTCATGAATGAATATTAATGAATTAATATTAATGAATTACAATTTACATATTAATGAATTATTAATATGTAAAATTAACTACTTGATCATTGCTTCAAGATCTATCTTAATGTTATTAAAAAATGAAAGTACTTTAATAACTAATTTAATAATGTTAATTATAAAAAGATTTAAAATCAAAATATTACTTGTTCTTTTTTAATTATAATATTAAATCTTCTCAGGCAGTTTCAAATATGGACAAACCAGAAGAGTTTTTAAGGCAAATAACATTTTCATGTGCATTGTTAGTGCATCTATTTTTCGAGAGTTTTCAAGCGCAACGTCTAATCGACCATAGCACATATATTCATACTAGTTTGTATGTATTAAATTCAGTTTTGTATTTTAGAAAATCTTAAATGTACTTTTATAGAACACATCTAACATATTAATTATATATATATATATATATA